CATCTAGGGGCAACTCGACGGTACCTGAAAGAAGTTTAAGTTTAATTTTCAAAGGCTTGGCTTTGATTCGCGATAAATTAAGATTTATTCTTTTTAATGCGTTATTTTTAACGGCAGTATTTTGAATTTTTACTTTTTGCAAACAATGCAAACGAGACCATTTAGAGCACATAAAAATTAATGAATTTTTACACTGTATTACAATCTACATTATCCCAAATCTCAAATATACATCTCCTGGTCATCGAAAAATGTTACAAATTTTAATGGACAATTTTTCTCCTTGAACGTCGAAAATGTACAATCGAGTCTGCACTATCTCTATTTTCATACACATCCACTCATACACACGACGCAGACGCGAATACGTATTAATATGATAATCCGGGGTCGATTTATTCGCGCGTTTCGGCTTCGACGCGCGAGAGCGCTTTTAGCATAATACACCGTGGCGGTGGTGGCGTCGGGGGCACGACTTCTATTACTTGCATCATTGCACTTTCGCAGGCGTTATAAGTATATATACCGAAGCAGTACCCAGGACGCGCCCCTCCGTTTCTCGACTCGTGCCTCTAAAAGTCTCGAGAGCTGCTGCCGCTGTAAGCTCTCCATTCCCCTGCACACACACATAACTCCTGTACAGCGGCATCTCTCAAGCTCTCAATTTTCTGTCTCGTTTGCAGTTGCGTACATATACGTGCACACAAGTATATATCTCACACCTATTACTTGTTACGAGTACATGTGTGTGTGTATGGCCTTTAAAGCGATCGCTCCCGATTGTCCGCTCGTGCACCCCTGCAGCAGCAACACGGATACTTAATTCCGAAAGAACTCTCGATAGTAAGACAATTCCACTCTGCGCGCCTGCGACGGGGCTAATCGCATTAAAAAACAATTTCGATTTCGAATGGCTTTTGTATCGTCGTAGCTCTCTTTCTCGCTCGCTTTTCTCGCTATACACCATAGCTCTTTTTTTTTTGCTACGGTGCTATCGCGTCGTGCGTGTCGATGTTTTTCGGAACTTCCGACGAGTCTTTCTGGGATATAGCATGTACTGTTAAAAATAATAACGTTGATGAAAAATTCATTAAGTACTTAAGATCGCGATTTTATATATATAGAATTATTTTTAGTTTACCGCTTGCAGACTTTTACAGATGAATGTACTCGCCATCTGGCGGTGAAGACTAGCATCAATTACGATTGAGTTTCCATACAAATTAAAATTTTTTAATTTTTCGTCATTATTTTTTATTCAAAATTACCAAGTGATGCCATTTTCATGTTTTTTTTTGTTCAATTTACATAAACAAATAAATCAGTACTTATACATTAATTTCATGTAAAAATAAAACTCAGTATTCATTACTTTAATTTTGATGTCTGATTTTACATTAAACCTGCAATTAAATTTTTAAAGTTTTCTCAACCGATATTCATCTCCTCCATTAATTTCTCCCGTGATTTGATAAGAGATACAAAAAACTATTTCTCTCGTTCATTCAAATTTAACATCATGCGCACAAAGACTCTAGAAAAGCAAATGGAAATTTACTCGCTCGAATCTCGTTCTCGATACACTTGGCTCTCCTTCGACGATCTCTTTGATACGAACCCAGAAAATACGACTAAACGCTCTCGATATACACACCGCTGTGTAGCAGCAGCAGCAGGTCTTAAGTCCCACGGGATACTCTGCTGCACAAGGGTCAAAGGCGGCGTGTGCGCACGGCTCGCTCGACAATGGTACACAGCGTGTGTGTGTGTGTGTGCCCATCCACCACCCAGCCAAACACGCACACACACACACACACACACACACACACATGCTCGCAAGGTGCATAAACACAGAGACAGAGTATAGACGGGCGACATTGAGACGAGTTTTGAAAGCGAAAATCGTTTACCGCGTACAAACACGCGAGCGCGCGCGCCGTGACTGCGAGTACCCAGATATACATATAGCAGCAGCAGCAGCAGCCTAGTATAGAGAGTCCAGCCTCGTCAATTACCGGAATCGTCGCTACCGCTTTGCGCGGCGCGAGGGGATGACGAAGCTGCTGCTGGTGCGGTGGTTGGCGGTGGTGGTGGTCGTCGTCGTATACGATATGCAGCGCTGCGAGTGCTGCGGGACGCGGACAGACGGACGGACGCGGCGCAGCAGCCGAACCCCTTCTCTTTATAGCTGTGTGTGTATAATGTAAGCCTCGTACTCGATCGTCATTGATTGCGCGCGCGCGCCGCGTCGGATGGGCTTTGATTGTATTAAATTTGCCTGTATTCGGGTATGGACGCGAAATGAATGTTGTACTGCGTGATTTTTGATAAAATATTTCGTTATACTTGGATCAAGTGTCAAGTGAATCTGTAAACATTGCTTCGACTAAAATAGTTATTTTTGATTTTGTCACTTGCAGATTCATACGATAAAGGGTACTTGCCATTTAGTGGTCGATGCTGTCATTAATTATGAGTCAGTTTTCATAACTGTTCAAAAATACATTCATTTTTGAGGAAGGTTTATAAAAAAATACTTTCGATAAAATTCAGTGTCGTTTTGCTTCTACACAGCTTTGTGATGGATCTAAAATGGACCTTTGTCAAATGTTTTTTTCACTTGCATGTCAGTTTATTTCATTGTTGTATTCAGGTTTTTATGCAAAATTTGCAGTTGACATATAATTCATATCGATACGCGAGTCAAAGCCTTAAAAATTTAATTTAAAAGAACTATGAATGTGAGAATCGTACACTTTATTTTATTTTATTAATTCGCGACTTATTATTTATTTTGTGTTGCCTATTTCAGCCGACGGAACGACAATGTCGCTTCCGTTTGATCTATTTATTCTCCTATTGATCTCTTTTCACATTTACCTTAATGTGCCTCGGTTAAAGCAACGATCATTTGATTCAAGATGAAATTTGAATAAATGAAATATATGTTACGTAGGTATATCATCCATGAAAGCAACACTCGGCAATTTGAAGACTATACATCACAATGGCTCGTTACTGTTATTTACTGTTAGACACTGGTTTCTCTATTAACGTATATCAATCGCAGAGTATCTCTCAATAGCCTGTCATATTTTGTAAACAAATTTTTTGGGAATCGATAGCCGTTAATTCTTTCTGATCGAAAATACGTTCACTCAATTTTTTTTCTGCTTTAATTTAATAATAGTCTTATAAACGAAAAAAAAATAAAATGATCCATGATCGGTCGATTTTTTAGAGAGGCTCGTGATTTTTTTTTAAATTATTAAAATTATTCGTCCCAATGAATTGGCAGCGATTAATTTTTTGAGTGTAGACAGAGCTGCGCGACGTCACTTTTCGGTGTTTTTCTGTCACTGGAATTTTTTTCCCTCGCACCTTCCGTCCCGATTTCCGTATGAAATCACGCGCGAGCCCAGGCGTATACGAATTTCGGTAAACACATGCACAGCTGATGCGTCGGAGCTTTGTTTTTAAACAGTTAAGCCGCGCGCAACTGTATACGAAACAACAACGGGGCACAGGTCGAAAAAAAGGTGTGCGCGCGTGCACGTCGTATACGCGGATATAAACGAAATTACGCGATTCGATTAGAGCACGACGACGATCGGTCCTCGCGCTGCTCGTATATACATTTAATGTATCCCGTATTATATGTATATCTACTCACCGGATATCGGCCCTTTTTTTTACCCTTAAACCGTTTCTCTATATCTCTTTCACTTGGCTTTTCTACTCGTGCGCGTCGCGCGCTCGATGTGACAAAAGGAAACAAACGCGGGCAGCCCAGAGAGAAAGAGAGAGGTAGAGGGTATACGGATGACAAAAAAATAAAAAGAAAGAGAGGCCGAGGAAGAAAATGGAGAGAAAAAACGAGAAATAGAGAGAATACGGGGGGGAAAAAAGGCTCGCGCATATCCATTGCTTTGCTCGGCAAGAACTATCACGCGTTAACGAGATACAAATCCCATTACGGCGTAAAACCTGGAAATACGAGAGTTCACTTGGTGGCTCTCTTTCTCTCTGTGTCTCTCTTTTCCTCCCGTTTCTTCTACTTCTTTTTTTTCCCCTCTCCGCGAAGCTATTTCGGATAATCTGCATCCTACCCGCTCGCTCGCTCGTTCGCTTCTTTTGCTTTTTAACGCTCTTTCGTATCGCGCATGTAGTAGGTACACTGGTGCTCGCACGTGTATGTGTACGTGTGTGTGTGTCTGCTCACACAACCCTTCGTACGGATCTGTCCGAGAGAGAGAGAGAGAGAGACATCTGCGCACTGATTGAATTTCCGATATATATATTTTCTCAATGCTCGGGAGAGAGAGAAAGAAAAGAGCGAAGTGGCAGACATTGTCGTCGTGGAGAATATACGTCTGCGTCTACAAGCCGTATATTTCCTTTCAGCAGATATTATTGGTTACAAATTGTTTATCATTGGCAGCTTTAATTCAGTTCAAAATTTGAATTATTATAAATTCATATGAATATTTGTATAAAAAAAAATCGTAACATCAATTTTACAGTTCATCATGTTATAATGATGATAAAATGATAAAAATTTGATGAATCTTTTAAGGTGAATGAAAACATAATTATGACTTTACAAGTGATTCATACTATTACATTATTTTTAATCAATGAAAATTACGGTTTTATCCCTGATTAATTCACGAAAATTCCCTTTAGATACACGTCACTTTTGTTGAGATTACTCACATCAATAAATATCTACAATGATACACCAAATCAAACAGCTTTAAAATTCGGTTGTATGTCCCATTCAAAAAATGCGTATCTTCCGATGTTCAATAACCATATGTCATTGTTATTGGATTGAAAAAATTTTATTGACAAACATGCATATAGTCACGTAGAGTCATTGACATTAAGCATATATGCATTTTTACACTCTTTGAATGTACCTTTTGACCTATCAATTATATAAAATAAATCGTTTTTTCGAAAAAACTTTTACTCAACCCATCGTGTGATGATTTCAGACAGCGACTCGCGAGGCGAATTCGCGAACGGCAGCGGCCAGGAGGACGACGCGGCCACGTCCGACCAGCTCGACATGGACATGGACGAGGACGGCCTCGACGACGACGAGGACGACGACGTCGACATGCGCACCTGCGCCTCGGACCAGCCCGACAACGAGATGTCGCACATCAACGACAGCAACGCCTCGACGCCCTCCAACTGCAGTGGCACCAACAACAACAACAACAACAACAACGGCAGCGGCGGCGGCAGCGGCAAGAAACGCCACTCGAGCCTGTCCGGCGGACAGAATCAGAATTGCCCCTCCGGCCAGAGCAACGGAAACAACGGCGGTAGCGGTGGTGGCGGTGGCGGTGGTGGTGGCAGTAGCGGAGGAAAACCTCGTCGAGCTCGCACGGCGTTCACGTACGAGCAGCTCGTGGCACTGGAGAACAAGTTCAAGACCACACGCTACCTGTCGGTCTGCGAGCGACTGAACCTGGCCCTGTCGCTATCCCTCACGGAGACGCAGGTCAAGATCTGGTTTCAGAATCGCCGCACCAAGTGGAAGAAGCAGAACCCGGGCCTGGACGTCAACAGTCCGACGGTGCCGACGACGCCGCCGCATCCGTCGCCCTACGGGCCGACCTTCCTGTTCGCCGCGCATCCGCACGGCCACGCGCATCCACACGCTCATCCGCACGCGCACGTGCATCACGCGCCCCCGCCGCCGGGCTACTATCATCATCCCGGGGCGCCCGGGCCCTACGGCGCCTCGGCTCCGAGCTTCTTCGGGCATCATCTGAGCGCGGCGACGGCGGCGGCTGCGTCCACCGTGCAGCAGCAGCAGCAGCAGACGACGTCGTCGACGCCGACGACGGCAGCGACACCTACGCCGAACGTGACCACTAGCGCCGCTCACACGCATGCGTAGCAGCAGCAGCAGCAGCGGATCAAGCCCGTGCGCGTGATCGTGCAGCATCAGCAGCAGCCCCCGAGTAATTGGAGCGGCAAAAAACGTGATTCGAAAGCGGACGAGTAGTTTCGCTGCACGGATGTAAATAGTTGATTATGAAATTCAAGTGTACCGGGAGATTATTGTCTTGACACGGTGTATTTAGCGTACTGCTGAAATTTCGGTTCACTGAACGCATTGTCGAGTGTGATAGTTACTGTTTTCTTTTTATTATTTATCGGTTATTAAAATTTCTATTTCCCAGGTAGAAATGCTCAATATTAATACGGGCTCAATAAACAATTCATTGACATATTTTTGACAATTTTTCATATAAATTACTTTAAAATTATCAAACGTATCTTAAATAATTTAAAACCGGACGATTAAATTATTGAAAAAACTTTAGGTCGGGTTTCGACCACTTTCAATACGATAATTTTTAGGCCTTCACCGCTAGATGGCGAGTAGTTTCGTAACTGTGAATCTGCAAGTGGCAAAGTCGAAGTATGGTATATAAGTCAAGCACAGCAGTGCCTACTTATACACAATTTTATCTTTTAAAGCTAGCCCTTGAAGTATTGAGCATTTCCACGAGGGTCATCGATGCTTTCAGTCAAATTTTAATTGTGAAAAAAGGCAATTTGGCTTGCCATATCGTTGGAACAAGATTGCGACGGTTGTCAAGCATTGGCATACCTGCTCAACTTGTTTCCATTTCTCTATTGGCCACTAGTGCAATAATGTAAAAATTAAATTTATCATTAATAAATTGCATAGGGATCGAATTTTTTTATAATTATGTGGATATGAAAATGTAACATAATTGCTGCTCGTACGGATATCTTCTGCCTATTGCGAAAAAACTTTTCATGTAAATAAAAAACAATCAAATCTGTAAATAAAGAGATAACAAATTCTAACGGTATCAAAAATTTGAGAATCTCGATTCGTGTATTGTGTATCGAGCGACCGATGTAAGAAAAAAAAAAGCAGAACAAAACCTTTTAAAATTAGATTAGTTAAAAAAATATATTCACTCTACTAGTAAAGATTTAAGATTTATTGTATATAATAAAAAAAATAAACGAACAAAAAGACGAATCGTACACTGCTACACGAAGAATACCAAAGAGAATTAAAATTTATCGATAAACAGAAAACATTTCTCGCTTGTTTGTATCGAAGAAATTTTGTTAAATTTACTATGTTGTATTTAAAAAAAAAATAAACAAAAATGATCGTTCCGCCGTTCCGCGCGGCTCGAGTGTACGAGGCAAAACGATCGAAACTGCAAAAGTGTGATATAAGTATATTGTAATTGTGTAAATGTGCGTGCTTGCGTGTGCGTGCGCCAACTTCGGGGTACCACTGCGTACCCGTTGCATATGGGATTATATAATTGATAAATAAATCGAAGTCATAAAAAAAAAAAAAAATCAGTCGATTTTCCGTGATGATTATTTCTTTTCAGCCAACCCACCATACGTAAAATCCTGGAAACTTTTCGAATCTCGCACACACGATTTCGATATCGATTTGCATTAGGATTAAGAAATGTTACAGCCACTCGTGTCCCAGTCGATCGTTACAATTACATTCGATCTCGCGCGTGTCGACGATAAATAACGCAAAGTTTGTTCACATCTCCAGTGCACGCGTCGATCTGTTTATTCGAACTCTGCACGCGGATCTTATCTCTCTCTTGCCACAAATAAACTCGGTGTTTATCGATCGTGTAATATGCGTTTTCGACGCCGCGCAACAAAACAACGACGTTAAATCAAATCGCGTTGCAAAAACAGCACACGCGCGATATCTATATGTACAACCGGATACCTTCGACTCTTCGCACCCACTAAAATAATCGGCGAGTGCACTGCTTGGTGCATACAGCAATGAACTTTCTTTGGCTCCGGCAGCGGGCAAAAAAATGAAAGGGGAAAATTTTCGGGGCAATTTGCCGCATCTCGGGTCTAATGAGTCGGTCTGCACCCGCGGATACTATATACTGTAATATATAAAGCGCGCGCGATCATTAGTCGGGCGGGTGGTCGAGAACAGTGCCAGGCACTCATCTACGCGTTTCGGAGTATATATCTCGTCTTTTCTCTCTCTCTCTCTCTCTCTCTCTCTCTGTGATGTACTTCTCTATATACCGCTCGCTCGCGCGTACATACACATCGCAACTCGAGAGAGAGAGAGGGCTATGAAGCAGCATCGCAACTCCCAATGTACTCGTGAATTCGCTTTGATGACCGAATTAGAAGCCAGCCCCGGCAAACAGAGAATCCCAAAGTTGCTTTGCTCGAATGTCGTCGTCGTCGTCGTAGTCAGCAGCGGCAATTCGCAGAGGATCTGCAAATTGAGATTTTATTTATTTAAACCCCGAGTAGCAGCGGCAGCAGCAGCTTTTGCGGCGTAAACCTCGACGCCGAGGCCTTTGCCGGTGTTTACGTTCGTAGCGGCACAGTCGTCGTCGACGACGCACAGTGTATATAAAGTTGCATCCGCAAATCCGTGAGAATATAAGAAGAAGCATCTAAAAATCATCCGCTCGCGCATACATAACGTATATAAGCGGATAAGCAAAGAGTCGCATGCGCGCGTGTCGATACCATCGCGCAAATTATTATTATTATTATTACTTCGAATTCGGTGTGGCATAAATAAATAAAGTACAAAACGCGCCTCGAGTGGCAATCTCGGCTCAATGGGAAAATAATGAGTTCTCTCGATGGAACGTGCAGTAGTAGTACGCGCTCGACAAAAGAATGTCCCCGAGATATAGGCCTAACTCTGTTTCACGGAGATTAGGCTTCGTTTCTCTCTCTCGACACCCTTATCCACTCGACGCATTAACTTTGGTCCTTTGGCCCGAACGCGCATTATTATTGTACGTAGATCGAAATGTTTATGCAGAAAAACTAAATACAAAACTCACGCCGTTGCGCGTGTATGTATGAAAAGAAAAAGTTGATAAAACAATTGCGAGTCGATAAAATGTAAGGCCCGCACGCGTACACGTACAGCAGCAGTACTCCTCGAATTAATTCTTCGAGGGTGCAGGGGGGTGGATGGCAGCGGAGGGGGTTTAGATTTGCGAGCCGAGGGTGTGAGCCGAGTGAGACGAGTGGACCGTGAAATAACCTAAGAGAGAGAAGAGAGAAGAGAACGAAGCACGGGCGACAGTCGAGCGTACAGACACACACGCAGTCTCGCAAATACGATATAGCTTTTGCAGCGGCAGCAGCAGAGCCCCGTATACACTACGTACAAATCGCGCGAGACGTGCTGAACGGTCTCTTTCTCTTTATGCACGTGTATGCATTATACGTGTATTTATATGCGTCTGTAACTCCGATGTTGCCAGTTCAGATTTCTGCTGCGGAATTTTATTCAAAGGAGCTTGAAAAATTAAAAAGAAAATTAAATACTTAACCGTGCTCGTGAAGGTGGATATCGAGATCGAGGGATTATACTGCTGCTGCTGCTGCTGTGTTCAGTTGAGGTCAGACGTCACACGCGAGTTGCGTGTACTCGGGCGTGACGGCACCTCTATATACCTATACGTAGCTCAATAGCCCGGGATCTTCACTGTAACGATCCCATCGATATTCCCTTTCGCGCTCGTCGCTCGTCCCGTACATACGCCTCGTCCCACTCCATGACGCAAGGAGGGAGGGCAAAAAAAGGCGAGAGATAAGGACTCAACTGTAAAAAGTCTTCCAACAACTTAATCTCGCGAGTGGCTCGAGCTTTCCTTAGCTCTCTGGTGCGCAAGCAGCTATCTCTTTCTCGTGGCACTTAAATTTTTTTTTCTCCTTCTGGCTTTTCCGTGTATATCTCTGTATACTCCTACCCCTAATGCGTGAGATTGAATGACTTCTTTTTTCCGGATTTAACCCGTCGTTTTGTCGAGCGAGGATACGACGCGACGCTCGCAGAAAATGTTGACAACAAAAAAAAGGATAAATAAAAAACTTTCGTCTATTTGGATGTATATAATATCGAGCGCGCGTCTAGCTGCGGTTTCGCGCAAAATTGACGCAATTAATTTCAATTTGGGAAAGCCGCCTGGTAAGTATTATTCACTTCAGTCGATTAAATTGTACGGCGACGCGCAAAGCGAGCCCGGGAATATCAAAGCAAATCGCTCTGATCGATATGCACTCGAGTGCAATAAACTCGTAAACGGCGCTGCCGCCGAGAGTAATTCCCTTGCATTTATAGAGAGAGAGAGAGAGAGAGAGAGAGAGAGAGAGAGAGAGAGAGAGAGAGCAGTAGCAGAGATTTCGGCTGGAAATTTTGCATATAAATGCAACTACTAGGACCTTTTAATATTTTTTTTTTTTTATAATTTGCCATTTTTTCGTGATCATAGATGGTAATATGTTCAATATTTCTAGCCAATAATATAATAATATAGCGACTCGATATTGCTCTGTTTACTGTGTCATGATTAGTAAATATTATTAAATTCAAATTACTGAGCTTGACGTGTGATGTGTATGTTGTAATAATATTATGAGGGAAATATCAGTCGTTTCTAAAATTTCAACTGTGTAAGATGAAGTCCAGCGGTTTGTTCGATTGCGCCGTTAGGTAATTTTTATCTTACTGAAATGTGAGTATGAAACTTTTATAATACTTGATCTCGTTGGACTAATTTACAGGGTGAAAGAAGAACCTTACGACACGTCGTTTACGGAAAGTGATTCTAAATTAATTGACAAGGTAACCGATACTGAAAATTTTCAATATTCGAGGTTTCTGCCAGGAAGTTCGGTAAGTGCTGACAAAATTTTGATCAATATTTTGAACGACAATTACCATACAACTTCATTTTTTTACTAGACCCAAACATTTAAAGAACGTGACGAAAATCATGAAAGCGAATTTCATAAAGATTTAGATATAGTCTTTGAATGTAAAGAAGTCAAACCTAAAATTAATTTATTGCAAATTAAGACTATTGACGATTGTTCTTCAAATTACCCCCGAGATGTAAATGATGGCAATTTTTACGAAACTTGCAACAAAATCAAAACAGAAACCGTGAGTGAAGTGAAGAAAGAAATTTCTGATGACGTCACAGAAGAATTAAATTTGAATTTGGACTGTGACTCTGTCTTACATAATAAAAAAGGATTAGTTACAAGAAGGTTTATCAACGCACACAGACTCGAAACACACATCGATGCGACGCAAAACGATAAGACCCTCAAGTGCAACATATGCAGAAAGAAATTCTCATGTAAGGGTAGTCTCAAAAGACACGCCGATAATCTGCACAATGGTATCAGGTTTACTTGTGACGCATGCGGAAATACATTCGTAAGTAAGACCAGTCTGAAAAACCACATTGATGCGAAGCATAATGGTATCAAGTATGCATGTGATATATGCGGAAATTTATTTAGATGGAAAGATAATCTAAAAGACCACATCAATAGAGTGCATATAGGTATCAAACATGCGTGCATAATATGCAAAAAAAAATTTTCAGTAAAGTCAAGTCTCAAAAGACACATTGATGATGTGCATAATTGTGTCATACTTGCATGCCATCTATGCGGAAAGAAATTCGAAAGTACGCAAGGTCTAAAAAGGCACGTCGATGTAATCCATCATGGTATCACACATCCATGCGATGTATGCGGAAAAAAATTTACAGCTAAATTTAATCTCAAAAAACACGTTGATATAGCGCATCACTCACGGGCAGTAACTTGCTAAATGTTTAAAAATTAATGTGTACATTCAGAAGATTACTCGAAGAATGTTTTTAATGGTGAAATCATGAGTTTCTCCGAAATTATTTTTTTATGTAAAAAGAATGTATAAGTTTTGAAAAAATTGATAAACTTTTGGAGGAAAGTAAAAATCATTCTTAATCGTCGACTAATAATATGTTAAACCCTATAAGTGTATGTCAATTTTATAAAATTAGTAACTTTTTAGCACGCTTAGAGTTTTTTTTTCTTTACTAAACCTATAATAAAAACTGAGTCGCTTTAAAACTCCTTACGCCATTCAGCCCACACCACTTTGAGGTGATTATGATTATTGTTTTCTTTTCTCAAATACCATGAAATACGCTGATACTGTTGATTTCCATGTGATTTGATAAAAACAATGGAAAATTTATGATTATATTAATTCAAAAATCAAATATTTAGCTTGATTTCGGCTACTATCGATGAGGCCGATTATATAATTAATTCTTTTTGAATAGATAAATGATGTATTCACTACGCTGAAGTAATATTGGTTTCTTTCAAGGAAATCAAAATCAGTGTCTCGATCGTAACTGCTTTACTTTACAGCTATTGAACGTGATCAATGATATAGATAAAAAAAAATTTGTTAATAATCGAACTTCAATTTTCCGTGCGTAATGGTGCATTATAAAATTGCGAATACACGCCGAGAGACAAAAATAATACTTAATGATTCAATTATTACAAATGATTTTTATAATATTCAAGGTTTGTAATCGGTTAATGTATCGATCATAATTATCCATCTCACATGAAAGTTAATAACTCCGGAAAATTATAATTCTAAATAAATAAAAAAATTGCGCGAACTGACGTCAAGATTTTACCCACACGGTGTGTTGACAGTTTGATCGACTACTGTATATTTTTGTTATTACAACTGATTATTTAAAATATACTGAAAATAAAAGAGTAAAAGCAATATTTTCATTTTCTTTAGAATATTAAGTTTTTGCTGTAATGAAAAATGACTATTGACACTGCACGATTGTACTAGAATTCATTATGTTATTTGTAAGATTGAAATTTTACTTTCAATATCAATTTTACTTTTGAAAACGGTTTGCACTTTTTATAATTAAATGTTCAGGCTGAGATCGTAGTATATACTTAAAAATTGCAGAAAGATGTTAGTTAAATCATTATTTTTGATAGAAAGATATGTTATGATAGAAAGATATGAACTAGATATGTTAAACTAAAGTGCATTAATCATTACGTAGATATTTTCGAAAATTATACAATCAATATAGAATTCCAATAACTGCAAGATATTGACCTAAATTCGTTTTAATCACGATTCAAACTAAGTTTATCTATTTTCTTAAATGGTATAACCGATAGACAATAGAAAATAACAATTTTTGGCATTCCAATCGGAACACGTGTTGTGTCAACAAAATAAATGTCACATTACAGTCTCGATTGAGAAAAAAATTTTTTTTTCGTAAAAAAGCACTTGTGTCAACAAGGAGTCTCTTTTATTATCAAGTTTGCGTGTTCACCTTCAATCTTGAGAAACAATTGATAGTATGATATACTCTACAAAAATATTTACATCGATAATATGTTCTCTTACTCCTCGATTAGTAATTTCGAATCGAAAATCAAAGATTTATGTCGCGTGATGATTGTTTTCCGAAATGCTATATATATCCCGACGAGGCTCGAAACGAGCCAGATAGACTTGCACGTCTTGTACCGGCTGGTTCAACTCCACCCTCGTGTTGGGCTTGCAGCAAAGGTAAAAGTGAACTAAAAATTTTCGAAGAAACGAGTGATCGATCGACCTAGTTAAGAAAATAAGTTTCATGTGCAATTAAAATCATTTCACCGTATCTCCAGTGACGCATACTTCGTTGTAAAATTTATTACCATTGTGTTTGATCGAGGCATAGGCGATTGTTTAACAGTCAGTTGCCGATATAAATATTATCGAATGAATTAATTTAAGAAAAATATTTGTATCCCATTTTAACGGCGAAGTTTGTTTTTTCAATTTTCAGATGAAGATCGCAACGTTATTGTTCCTCGGCTTCCTGGCTTTCGCCAGTGCGGCTAACGAAAGTAAATATCATCCACGAAAAACAATATCAACATTCGCGCAGCGACGATGCGACTCTTAATTAAACGTGTATCTTTATCCCCGTAGAAAAAATCGTGTGCTACTACAGCAATTGGTCGCCGTACCGAGTCGGCAACGGCAGATTTAGCATCGAGCACATCGACCCGAAGCTCTGCACCCACCTGATCTACGCCTTCATCAAGGCCAGCCCCAGCGGCGAGGTTCAGGCCTTCGACCCGTGGCAAGATCTCGCCTCGCCGAATCTCAACGGCTTCGCTCGCTTCAATCAGCTCAAGGCCAAGAATCCCCAGCTCAAGACTCTGCTGGCCATCGGCGGCTGGAACGCCGCGTCGAGCTACTTCGCGCCGGCCGTGAGCACGCCCCAGACGCGCAAACGCTTCGTCGACAATCTCCTGAGCTTCGTCAAGCGTTACGGCTTCGACGGCCTGGATCTCGACTGGGAGTATCCGGGACGATCGGACCGAGGCAGCACACCCAAGGACGTCCATAACTTCGTCCAGCTGTGCAAAGAGCTGAGGGAGCGCTTCGATCGGGAGAATCTTTTGTTGAGCGCCGCGGTGGCCGCACCCGAGGCCGCGGCCAGGCAGTCCTACAACATCCCCGAGATCTCCAAGTACCTGCACTTCATCAACATCATGGCCTACGACTTTCACGGCAGCTTCGACGGCAAGACCGGCATCAACGCCCCCCTCTACGCGGGCTCCTGGGAACGAGGCGTGCAGAGGCAGAACAACGTGGACGCGGCCATCAGATTCTGGCTGAGCGCCGGCGCACCCGCCGAGAAACTCATCCTCGGTGTGCCGTTCTACGGACGCACCTTCACCGTCAATTCTCAATCGAAGGAGATCGGCGCGCCGGCCACTGCGGGCCAGAGGGGCCCCTACACCGGCGAGGACGGTTTCATGGGCTACAACGAGATCTGCGAGAAGCTGAAGAACGACAAGTGGGAGGCTCGCTTCCAGGAGGAGCAGAGAGTGCCTTACGCGTACAAGGGCAACCAGTGGGTCGGCTACGACGACGTCAAGTACGTGTGGGACGCGAGAAAATTTTTTTGACTTTTTACTCAACGTACAATTGTTTTATTGCAGTTCTCTCGCTGAAAAAGTGAGCTACGCCGAGAAGCACGGACTCGGTGGAATGATGGTCTGGAGCGTCGAGACCGACGATTTCAAGGGTCTGTGCGGAGAAAAATACCCCCTGTTGAAAACTTTGAACAAAATTCGTGGACTGTCCGCTACGAGCGTTCAGGCTCCCTCCTACGAAAACGGCGTCGAGAACAACGAGGTAGACGCTCCGATCCTGAATGAAATCCAACAGGATGAACCCGTACAGAACAATGAAGTTTCGTACGAGGAAAATAACGAGATACCAAACAATAGCAATAATGATAATCAAGTAGGATCCGGCGAATTGTGCACCAACGGGGACTTGTTCGCCAATCCAGCCGATTGCGCCACTTACTATCACTGCTCCCCCGGACATTATCCGATGTTGAGGCCTTGTCCGTCTGGATTGTTGTTCAATAACAATCAGAAATATTGCGACTGGCCACAAAATGTGCAATGCTGAGACAAGAAGTAGAAAAAATGTTAGAAAATAAGTAAAAGTTTTTATTTTAAGGATTTTTTTTGATAATTACTGAATATGTTTATGAAGTTTTTGTACGAAGTAAAAGAAGGTTTTAGAATATTTTTTATTACAAATTATGTGACATAAATAAAGAAGAAAACTAATTTTATTCTAATTGCATGAAATATTTATGATAGAATCTTTGTTGAGATTGAGTTTTTAAGTGATTTCTATACAAAAGAAATGAAATATTTGAAGAAAAAATTAAATGAATTTCAATAAAAATGTTCATTAATATATGAGCAAGAAATATTTATTGATGAATTAGTAAGAGATTTATACACTCGGCAACAAAATTATCGCAACAAAAAAATTCATCGAAATTTTGTCGATTTTCAAATGCTTCTATCTTGGGCTAGATTTATCGTATCGATACGCTTTTTTTTTTAATTTCTTGGAAATTTTGTCCTCTTTAAATCCATATAAATTAAGATAAGATTTGAGTTAATGTTGAGTTACCAGTAGTATTTGAGCGTGACCCTAAAAATTACTGAAAAAAAATGACTGTTTGAACGTGTACCAGTACCACAGTGATTTTTTTATCGAATTCTAACATACACCATCGCAAAGTGCTCTTTTTAACGAGTAATTTAAAAAAAAAAGACTTCTCTACGATTTTTTTAACGCCCTGTAGGTCGATTTGAAGATACTATTCAAAGTACGTAAAATCCCCCGTTTACCTGAAATCAAGACGATTTTCTGGGCATTTTGCGTACATAAACCGTACCTTCAAATCGACCTACAGGGCGTTAAAAAAATCGTAGAGAAGTCTTTTTTTTTAAATTACTCGTTAAAAAGAGCACTTTGCGATGGTGTATGTTAGAATTCGATAAAAAAATCACTGTGGTACTGGTACACGTTCAAACAGTCATTTTTTTTCAGTAATTTTTAGGGTCACGCTCAAATACTACTGGTAACTCAACATTAACTCAAATCTTATCTTAATTTATATGGATTTAAAGAGGACAAAATTTCCAAGAAATTAAAAAAAAAAGGCGTGTCGATACGATAAATCTAGCCCAAGATAGAAGCATTTGAAAATCGACAAAATTTCGATGAATTTTTTTGTTGCGATAATTTTGTTGCCGAGTGTATTTCTATAAGAATTTTTTGAGGTTTTATAGTAGATATCGAAACAATTTGTTTTAAACAAGATAAAATGGTGAAAGTGATTTTAAAATATAAATTGTTCGATTTTTTAATAACACTTCTTAGATTCCTCTCATACAAATGTTCCCTCGTAGATACTTGCAGAGATTTTTTTATAAATCTTGGATGCTTTCACGTGTGGAAAAATTACCTTTCCCGGTTGTTTGGCGATGTTGATGAATAAATTATTGCTTCAAGGCCAAGATTTTTATTCGCATAACAATTAAATAGGGAGGTGGTGCATGAGGAAAGGTTCAATTAACAATTGGAATGTTTAAAGATCGGTTCAACATGTTTATGTACAACAATAGACACAACAAAATGAATATCAGTTTGAAATATTTTATTGTTTTTTTTACAAAATTGAAGGATATTTATAAAAAAATTTTTCTAAATTAGCACACAAAGTTGTAGGTAGAAATTGTGGTTTGGTTCAAATGTTTCGGAGAAAATCTCACGATCTCTTTTTGCTACGATCACTAACTGAATTTGTAACATCATGTATAGTACTCACGTGAGAAGAGTAGTTTTTCGTCTAAATGATTTGTGACAAATCTCGCAATCGAAATGTTTACTATGATTGCGTATACTGTTTTAAATCAATTGATTTGTGAAAAATGTCACATTCAAAGGGTTTGATAAAGTATTGTATTTTATAATTTTTATGGCTTTCAATAGACTGGTGGTTTGTATACAAATGATTTGTGACAAATCTAACATTCGAAGGGTTTCCTTTGATCATGAACTGTAATTTTGTGATATTTAAGTAGAGATTTGTATCAAAATTATTTGTGACAAATCTAGCATTCAAAAAGTTTGCTCTGGTTATGTACTGAATTCATGTGTCTTTTAAGGTGATCATTTTGTCCAAAAGATGTGTGACAAATCTCACATTCGAAGGGCTTACGACGATCATGTACTGACTTTGTGTGACGTTTGAGAGTACATTTTTGTCCAAATGATTTGTGACAAATTTCACATTTAAAGGGTTTGATATGATTATGTACTGTATTAATATGTCTTTTGAGGTGACTCAATAGTTCAAATGATTTGTGACAAATATCACACTCAAAGGGTTTACTATGATTGTGTATTGTATTTATGTGAGTTTTAAGAGAATTTTTTTGACCAAATGATTTGTGACAAATATCACACTCAAAGGATTTACTATGATTGTGTACTGTATTTATGTGCCTTTTAAGATCACTCTGGTATCCATATGATTTGTGGCAAATATCACATTCAAAAGGTTTTTTTCGATCATGAACTGTCATCGTGTGTTTTTTCACATTATTTCGGTAACCAAATGATTTCTGACAAATATCACATTTGAAGAGTTTAATCCGATTATGTACTGTCCTTGTGTGAGTTTTAAGATAAGCCTTTCGTCCAAATGATTTGTAACAAATCTCACACTGAAAGGGTTTGCTGCAGTAATGTACTATACTTACGTGAGATTTTAGGGTACCTTTTTGTCCAAATGATTTGCGACAAATATTACATTCGAAGGGTTTGCTACGAATATGTACTGAATTTATGTGTTGATTGAGGGTTGCTTTTCTTCCAAATGATTTTTGACAAATGTCACACTCAAAGAGTTTATTTTGATGATGTTTTGCATTAGTCTGATTTTTGAGGTTACTTTTGTATGTGCACGACTGCTGGAAAATGGCATATTTGTCAATCTGCAATGGAGATTTTTCTAGAAGCTGACAATTATTTTCGTAATCGAATCCTTTCTTTATTAAAATTATCACTTCTTCATCATTCGGAAGATTGTTCTCAATTTCCTTTTCAACTTTCACTACAGATGAATGACTTTGATCCTCAGTTTTACAGACGTTTGGCAATGGAAACGGGAGTTCAGGTTTAAAATCTTTGTACTCTGCAACAATGAATATTTTTTCATCTAAATTTTTCTGTAACGCCATAACTTCGTGCATGTGAGTTGCCTGAAATGAAAAGTTTGCTATAGACTTTGATACTCAAATAAATTAGAACGTAATTCAAATCGCCAACTCACCGATGGTTTTTGTAAGGTAAATGTTTGAAAGTTTTTGGCTTCGCAAACGTTCAGCGAATCGATATTGTGACCGTATTCTGCATCTGTCCAAGTATCGTTAGGTTCCTTCTTTACCCTGAAGAACAAGAAAATTTGTGTAAGCGATTGCTTTATAAAATATCATATCGCGCACAAAAACTGTTATACCTAAAAGCGTCCACTTTACTTTCCATCACTCGCTTGATTATATGTATGCACTGTATATTTACACTATTATCATTGAGAAAATATTAAAGGTTATATGCCTCGAGCAGCCAACACAGAATCTCGTTAGAACGTTATAAATATAGGCTGTTCGTATAAATTTAAGAGATGATTTCGCGTTTAGGTTAGCTTTTTGTCGATTCCTTAATCCTCCGTCGCGCAGTAATGTGTGCAATACGCATGTTTCAGTAGATGGCGACGGCGCACGATGTATCGAGCGCGAGCTTTTATATTCCTGATAACGTAATCTAATTTTCCCGTTTATTCAAATATTTTTCATACTAATATTTCTGCAACCAGATCTACCGAAATTGGCTTTATAACATAGTTTTGGCTACTGAGTGCAATATCATACCTATCTGAGTTGCGAAGTTTCCAAGCAAAAATTTATCAAAATACGTAATACTTATAAAACATAGCGATACCATTTTACATGAAAATGGAAAGATAGGCATTTAACCATTAAAATGACTCAGTTAATATATATAAAAACCCTTCAATAAAAATTTAACAACTCTTTGCTCTTTGGTCATCTTTTAATTACGGCTAAACTTCGCAACCTGATGATAATATAAACTAGACAAGACTCGCGAGATCATGAAAATTATCAAGCTAGTAAACTCGAATTCGACAGATTTATGAATCGATACGTGGAGCAGATCAAATTTTCGAATTGATAAAAGTAATAATTTTATATAATTGTTAACTTTTCGAAAACGCACTGATCATTTTTGTATCATCTTTTATCAAGTTATACTAATTAAAATAAACAGTGTACAAAATGAAACTATTATTGCTAATTATTATTGCATTTATTTATTATTCATAAATAGGATGTTGCGATTAAAATGAAAGAAAATTCTGACTCACGTTCTTTGAAATGAGTCAAATATTAGAGCCTATAAAAAGATCAAAAGTTTATTAACCCATTAATAAGTAAACGACACGATTTTTATGCTGACTTACAAACGAACTGATGAAAAAATATCGAGACGTTATTCGATACAAACCCAGACAAGATTATAATAGAAAAATTCGGATTTAATCTTATGGTTTTTTAGAAAAAAATTACCGAAAAAATCTCATATGGCTTGAATTTATTCGTAATAACAACTGTTTTTGAACTTCCAAGTTATAAAAATTTATTGTACATTATCCAACTCACTTCATTTAGAATGATAAAGTGTCGTAGAATCTCTGCCAGAAACAATGCCTTCGTGTCATATTTACGTCAACAAAAATGTATTGTCAAGAGTGTAAAGTGACCTTGTTTATGTTTGATTTTTGTCGGTTATGAATCAAAAATAAAGAGTCAAAATCGTAAATCTGTGTTTCCAAAATTACTATATAAATTCAATGAGAATTTAGCGAAAAAATATAGTTTCATTTTGGCTTTCATTCTACACATTGGGTGAAATTCAGTTTGCCTTCATTGGAAGTGAGAATATTTCAGAGGTAAAATTTAATTGTCATATTTGTGTCATTTTTAAAACGATATTTTCAAAAATATCCATAGCCTGAATAGTACGTACATGTATTTTAATAATTTTTTACAAAAACAATGGTATTTCAACCAAATTTTTCATATTAAAAATGTATTGAAGTTTATAAAATGAAATTGTCAATTTTTTTCAGTATTTCAATGGAAAATTTTCTCTTTCGTGGCTTTCAAAAACTTCAAAAAGTTCTAGGGTTTTTTCATTAATTCTGATCAATCGCTACGAAAGTCAGTTAAGTTTGAAGAAAAATTTCTATATTTATGCAGTTATGATATTGCTGCATTTTAGGTTTAAAAAGTACAAAAACTTTGAGAAAAAACTCTTTTTCGTTAATTCATTGAATAAAAATGACGACGTTCTATTTCTTCATGAATTTTGTTGTATTTTGTATAATGAAAAAGGCTACTTGGGCAATAAAAAATGCAATTAGAATTGCAATTAGAATTAATATGCATTTAAAATTAAATAGAAAAGCGATTAAAATTACATAGGCAATTAAAAATGTTCAAGTTACTTAAACATTTTACGCGTCTCGAATCTTTCAACTACATTTTAAAATTCATTATTATTGATCAGAGTTGAAATCAACGGAACTGCTCTTATATTTATAGTCGATTATTCAAATAACACTTTCGTGGAACTATTTTTGAATTAGAAGTTAACATTGTAATCATTGAAGAACGGATTATAAGATAAAAAAATTCGAAACAATTATAACAGTCAGTTTATTTTTTCAAATTCCAGATGAAGATCGCAATTATATTTTTCATCGCTTTTGTAGCTTTTGCTAATGCGCAAAACGAAGGTAAATATTATGTTTCTAAAACTGAAACATAATAAAAGCAGTTGTGAAGACGTAAGCTTATTAATTTTTTTTTAACAGGAGAGCCCGATCAATATTTATCAGAACAGAACGAAGTCAATGAAAATGTACCAGAACTGAACGAAGTCAGTGAAAATGTACCAGAACTGAACGAAGTCAGTGAAAATGTACCAGAACTGAACGAAGTCAGTGAAAATGTACCAGAACTAAACGAAGTCAATGAAATGATGGAAAATTTAGAAAACCAAGACAAAGGCATGTCAGAAGTAGAAGATGTTATTCCAAAAAATAGGAATAATCAAGAAGAATCTAAACAATTATGCAAGGAAGGAAAATTATATCGTAATCCAAAGGACTGTGGTACTTTTTATAGTTGCGCCATTGGACATTATCCATACTTGATGAACTGTCCAGCTGGATTACGTTTCAATGAAAAGTTGAAAGTTTGTGACTGGCCACAAAATGTACAATGTTAAAAAAATGGAAGATAATTTAAATAATAAATAGAAGTTTTGCAATGCAAAGGAAGGAAACAAAGGAATTTCTTTATTAATTTTCTGTACAAAGTAAAAAAGGCTTTTCTAAATATTTTCCATTACTAATTTTGTAAAATAAATGAACGAAAAATCTAATTTTATTCTTCTTCAATGAAACAATAATTTTGAAAAATCTTTGGTTGGATAAAAAAAATAAATCATCATGAGATAAATTAAACGGATTTTGATTGAAAATTCATTAATAATTATTTTTAATCTATTAATTTTTCAATCCATTAATACATATTTTTATAACTTTTTTCTGGGGCCCCATAGCCCTTGAAGTAATTTACTGTAGGATTGATAAATACGCTGCAATGAATATGGACAACATTTTTTAATAATTGTTACAACTATTTATAGAGTCGTTTAATCTTACGTATATTAATGAAAAACAAATATAAAATATTGACAGTGATTTTAAAATTAGAATTGGTCGATTTTTCAAATAAAAAATGTGTTTAGAAAAAAATTTAATTAGATTATTCCTTCTGATAAATATTATACATATGTGATGTGGATCATAACTGTAATGATATACTTCCTGAATTATTTTTTTCTTATAAAAGTGCCATGGCCTTATTGTGTCACTGCAGTCGTCCTTGGTCATTACAATTTTTGTGGTGGTATCTACATTAAGTACGAATTTTCCAATTCATAATGAATCCATTCATCGTGATTATATAAATGAATCCGTTATTAGTTAAAATGATATGATTTTTGAAATTGCGAGAATGTTATATGGTTTTGTGACGTGCATTGGAGCCGCTAATAAAATACGATTCGTTTTTAACGAAGATATTTTCTGTGTATAATTATAAATGATAATTATGACTGATAATTTGAATTTCGAACGATATGATCAACAGTAATACTTTGGCTAGCAAATTGAAAATGAAAAACTGTTAATATTTGAGTTTATATATAAATGTAATTTGTCGTTCTTCCAAAAATTGAAGAATATTTCGATGCTGTTAAGGAAGACTAGCACGTTTACATTTAAAAATGTATAGAAACGTGCTACTCTTCCTTAACAGCGTCGATTTATGGAAAAGATTTTTCAAAATAGCATATAAGTTTTCATTACGTGAGGTTTGTGTCAAAACTCATGCTGTTCCATTGCTACGATCATGTACTGTCATTAATATACTTATTACGATACTCCTTAAGATACTCATTTTTGCAGGTGGTAATCGTTAAGGGCTTTAGTTCAGGTTTCACATCTTCGCACTCAAAATCAATGAATATTTTTTCATTTACGTCCTCCTCCTCCTCCTCCTCCTCCTCCTTCAACGCTACAACCTCATTTATATGATTCGCCTAATATTAAAATCGTTCAATAGTTTTCGATAGTTTGAAAACAGAACGTATTTATATCATTCATTTTCTCATCATTGAACTTACCGATGATTCATAATATGGGAATTTCTCAAAGCTTTTGTCTTTACTGGAATTCCTCCGAATCGATTTTAAAATCGTCGTTAGCATCTGGCCAAGTATCGTTTAGCTCTTCCTTTACCCTGAAGATTAATATCATAAATTTGATGAAGACATCTCTTATTAACCTATCGTTACATTAACAGAAAAGAGTATACCTGATTGTGTATTCTTTGCTCACCATAACTCGCTTCATTATATACAGTCAGTGTGAATTTTGAGAAAAAATATTCGAGGTTGAACGCCTTGAGTATTCAAAAACACCATACCTTAATTCCGCCAATTTATAAACACTTGCTTAGGGATTTAGCTCCTCACCAGCAACTGAACGAATTTATATTTGTGCACTAGCAAAATTAGCAAACTATCTCTCAATCGTCTCCACCGTCAACAGACTGTATATAATGATATTTTACAAAGTATGTGTAAAATGCATATCAAGGCGCTCACGTGTCGTTGTTGTCATTAAGGTTAGTTGGCTTTTGATGTATTGAGCGCGAGTTTTTAAATTATTGATAACGTGACCTATCGTGCGGATATGATTTGGGTGCGTGCAGTGCGTTAAAGTTACCAGTATTCTTAAAATATTCTTGATTATGTGTCATAGGTATAAAAATTATTTATTTGATTTTTACTTTTTTATGAATTCTTTCACATCGATATCTCTGCGAGGATGTCTATCCGATCCGAGACGATTTTATCTCTGTGATTATACTGAATTTAGTCTGATTTCAGGGTTCGTTCACGAAGTAAAACTGCCGCACCGATCGCTGATATCGACTCAAGTGGATAGGAATAGGGGATTAATTACGATGTTTCTTAGTGAAAGTTTACATTTACATTACATTACAATTACAATTATTGCTTCAAAGTTAGGATTTTTTACTAAGGTGCCTATAAGAAGTAGGTATTGCAAAAAACATTCAACTGATCATTGAAATCTGGAAAGATTGGTGCAATATTATAAAGAGCGAATTTAAAACTATAGCTGTGATAATATTTGACTCTTTATAAGACAATTTAAAAACAAAATGAATAATAGTGTGAAATATTTTATTAGTTTTTTACAAAATTGAAGGATATTTATGTGAATGATTTTTCAAAATTACTTAACGTACACATGTAAAGGTAGTAAGCGTCGAATCCAAGAAGTCTTTATTGGGTTCGAATGTCTCGAAACGAATCTCACGAACCTTCTTTACTACTATTAAGAACTGTATTTATGTGAACTTTTGGAGTTCCCTGACGGCAAAATGATTTATGAAAAGTCTCAATTTCGAAGGGGCAATTACTAAAAAAATGTACTGAATTTATGTGTCTTTTTTGGTGACCATTTTGTGCAAACGATGTGTGACGAATCTCACATTCAAATTATGCACTGAAACTAGGTGAGATTTGAGGTCACTTTTGCGGCCAAATGATTTTCGACAAATTTCACATTCAAAAGGTTTGCTCCGATCATGTACTGCATGAATATGTTTGTTGCGATTACTTTTATCCCCAAATGATTTGTGACAAATATCACATTCAAAAGGTTTGTTCCGATCATGTACTGCATTTACGTGAGTTTGGAGGTTTTGCTTTCGTCCAAATGATTTGTGACAAATGTCACATTCAAAGGGTTTGATTCGATCATGTACACTAGTTATGTGCTTTTCCAGGTTTGCTTTTTGTCCAAATGATTTATGACAAATCTCACATTCAAAGGGTTTATTTTGTTCATGAACTGTATTGATGTGAGATTTGAGGTAACCTTTCCGTCTGAATGATTTATGACAAATATCACATTCAAAGGGTCGGCTACGAATATGTACTTCATTTGTGTGCATTTTTAGGGTACCTTTTTGACCAAAAGATTTATGACAAATATCACATTCAAAGGGTCGGCTACGAATATGTACTTCATTTGTGTGCATTTTTAGGGTACCTTTTTGACCAAAGGATTTGTGACAAATCTCGCATTGAAAGGGTTTGCTACAGTTATGTACTGTATTTACGTGAGCTTTTAGGGTACCTTTTCGTGCAAATGATTTGCGACAAATATCGCATTCAAAGGGTTGGCTCCGAACATGAACAGTATTTTGGTGCCTATGGAGGGTACTCTTGCTTGAAAATGACTTGCGACAAATGTCACAGGCAAAAGGCTTGCCAAAATTAGGTACAACTAAGTTAATTAATATATTTTCATTTACGTCATTATTCTGTTCATCGATTTCTGTTTTCATAATAGGTAGCCAAAGCTGATTCTCAATTTTGCAGTTGGTTGTCGATAGTGCTTTCGGTTCTGATTTGAAATCTTTGCACTCAAAACCAATGAATATATTATTATTCGCGTCATTGGTCTGATTTTCGTTTTTTACGTTTACCATTGGTAAATAATTCTGATACTCCGTTTTGCATATGGTTGTCGATAAAGACATTTGTTCAGGTTTAACATCTTTGCACTCGAAATCAATAATTATTTTCTCATCTAACTTCTTCTGTAAATTTATATCATCATTCCTGTGATTAGCCTAAAAAATTAAAATTTTATTATAGTTTTCGATAATCGAAAAACGGAATGTAATTGAAAAATTTTACTCACTGATAATTTACAAAACTTTGATGTTTCAACGTTTCTGGATTCGTAAGAGTTAACCGAATCGATGTTAAAATCGTCGTCTTCATCTAGCCAAGTATTATTTGTCTCTTCCTTCACCCTGAAGATTAATATCAAATTGGATAAAGCCATATCGTTAATTAGTCTATTACAGTATGCACACAAAATATTATACCTGATTGTGTCCTCTTTGCTCACCATGACTGACTCAATTAAATATCATCACTGAGAATTTTGAGAAAATATTCGAGGTTATACACCTTCGAGTAGCCAACAACACTGAATTTAGATTTCCCTGATTTGCAAACACTTGGTTAAGAATTTAACTCATCGATAGCAACTAAACAAACAACTGGTAAAATATCGAGATTAACCCGCGATCGTTGTAACTTCTTGGATATGTCTTGCCCTGTTACCGTTGACTGGCCATGTGCAGTTATGTACTGCAATAATAAGGGCATTCGCATTTCGCATATCATGATGCCTCGTGGTTGAGAGCGTACGATGTATCGAGCGGGAGTTTTTAAATTTTTGAACGAGTGCTGAAGCGTGCACCGTGCAGGTATGATTTGTTGGCACGGAGTGCGTTGAAAAAGTGCTAGTCTTTTTTCAATTTTACTCAATATTATTGATAAATATGTATTATCAAAATGAGCATGGTATAAAAAAATCGTTCATTTTATTCGTTTACTATCCGAATATTCGACACTGAAGGAGTGGCCCCTACTTTAAAATTATTGACGCAGTATAAGCGAAAGGCTGATGGACGAAGCAGAGAGACATTTTTTGATCCATTTTTACACAATATTATTTCAGATGAATTTGAATTTAATCTAATAGTTTTCAAGGGAAAAATTGTAAAAAAAATTATATAACTTGAATTAATTTTTAATAACAACTGTTTTTGAAATCTTAAGTTATAACTACTTATTGTGCATTATCCAACTCACTTCATTTATAATGTTTAATTTGAAAGTCCCGTAGTATCTTTGCCAGAAACAATGCCTTAACATAACATTTGAGTTAAGAAAATTTTATTGTTATCAGTATTACATATCGTTCAGAGATACAAAACAATCGATACAATAGTACATTTTAAACAGAAGTTGAATCATATTTTTGTTTGTATTTGATTTTCGTCCATTATGAATAAAAAAAATAATTCAAATCTGAGAGCTGTTTTTTCAAAATTACTATATAAGTCCGATCATAATTGAAGAAAAACAGGTAGTTTCATTTCAACTCTCTTCTAAGGTGCAATTCTTAATTCAAGTTTGATAATATTTCAAAGGTAATATTTAATAATCTGAGTATTATAATGAAATATTTGTTGGGTGATAATTTTAATACAATAATTTTAGAAGCAATCTGCAGCCGTTTACTTGTTATTATCAAATTTAATTTAATTGATATTAAAAATTTGAATCATTTTCAACGGATAGTTTTCTTTTTAATTTCAGATGAAGATTGCAATTATATTTTTCATCGGCCTTGTAGCCTTTGCTAGCGCACAGAACGAAGGTACATATCACGTTGTAATAACTGAAAAACAATAAGAGCATTTTGTCGATACAAGAAAATTAAATGTTTTTTTTATAGGAGAGCCCGATCAATATTTACCAGAACCGACCGAAATCGATCAACCCGAACCCGTAGAGAACCAAGACAATGGTATTTCAGAAGTAGAAGATGTCATGCCGAAAAATAGTAATAATAGTGGAGGATCCAGCGAATATTGCACCGAATCAAAACTTTATCGCAATCCAGAGAATTGCGGTACTTTTTACAATTGTGGCGTTGGACATGTTCCGTATCTGATGGAATGTCCGGCTGGATTATATTTCAATGAAGAACTGAAAGTGTGCGATTGGCCACAAAATGTACAATGTTAAAAAAAAAGAAAAATTTTTTAGATATTAAATATAAACGATCGAATATATTTATGTTTTTCGTATGAAATAAAAAGGATTTTTGAATATTTACTATCCTTAATTATGTAACAAGAATTCAAAAAAAAGCTTTCATTCTATTTACACCGAAATGCCTATAAAAATCGTTGTTTATATTGATTTGTGACTTATAAATAACAATAAATAAGTAAAATATCAAGAAAAAAATAAATCAATCTTAATCCAATACTTTTCGATACCAAAATTATTCATAATATCCCCACATTTCAAAGACATTTTATAAAACAATTGTAAAGAAAAGGCAGTGATTTTTAAACGGGAATTATACATTTTTCAATTGTTTCAAATCGAGTGTAACAGTTATGAAAATACCTTCATCTTCATACAATTTTATAACACGATATTTTTGAGAACACGTGTTTTCAAAATAAAAATAAAGAAGAAAGTCGTTTAACTAAAAATTACGAAGCAACCCTTTTAACTCATTGCAGCTTAGTTTTAAAAACAACATTTAGTGCAAAATTTTTAAGTTGCAAATTATCCAGTTACTTTAATTATCCAAAAAACGTAACACAGATATGACGTTACAATAGCTTTTTACGTGGGAATAAAAGGAACTGATGTTGAAATCTTATGATTATAGGTCTTAGTTAATAACAAAAGATGTCAATCAAATTTTTAAACCACTTTGTAATTTTTTAATCAATTTTTTCATCGCGATAAAATGATAATATATGCTTTCAAGACATGAATTTCGACGGGTGCTGAGGCATCATTGACTGGACGAGACTCACGATCGAATGAAGGTGATCAAGCCAATAAACTTGATTTAGAGAGAATTTTGAATCAAGGTCTGGAGCAGCTCAAATTTCTGAAGGATCAAAAGTATCATTTTTACGTAACATTTGCATTCTTGAGGATGTACTGATCATTTCTGCATCATCTTTTGTCAAGTTACACCTAGTAATGTAAGTAATATAACGATAAGCCCCCTACTAGCCACTTGTACTAGCTAATACTTTCCTTACACGCTATATAAGAAAATATCTAACATTTGATCAAGAGGATGTCAAGACTAGAATGATGGAAAACCAACTTTTTAACTAATATTTTCAAATATGAGTTAAACAGAACCTACCTACAAAAGTATATTAAAATTTTTCACATCGAACTATTAAAAAACTATTAATTTCCTCTTTTTTATTACAAATCGTTTCAATAAAAGTCCTTAGTAATTTTAAAAAATATTTGGTATGATTTGGTATGATTTTTATAAAGGAAAGGCTCAAATAAGGCTTCAATTCTAATGGAAATTTCTAATGTCACCATCAATAACGTAAAAATCGTGTTCGGGAGTAAAAAATTTTATGAACACTGTATTATAACAGCTATCTGAAATAATGAATGAATCGAGTTAATGATCGATTGCATCAAAGTTTGTTATATTCATATTAAAACAATTTTTCAATTAAACTATCCACTCACTTGAGTTTGTACAATTACACTAAAAATTGCAGTGGCAATTTATATATAACATGATAAGTCCTAATTCATTTACATCAAGATTTACTTGATGCAGAAAAAGGCTTTTTATAATAAGTACATTTTCAAATCTAAAATGGCATTTTAATGTCCGTGCACTATAAAATACATTTTTTCGATGCGATACTCGCATATAATCGTTACTTGAAGCGTAAGATTTGAATTATTTTGCTTGTAAAAGTAAATTTTTCATCATTTTCAAATCAACTGTAACAAATCGATTGCATTTTTGGTAAACTATAATTACATGTTATAACTTTTTGAAACCAAAATTTTATTTGATCGGCTGATACCAGAAGCTTTAATAATACTTTCGTTGGTGGAAGTTTTACAAAATAAAAAATATTTTTACGATGTAAATTAGTCATATAATTTCGGGGAATTCCTCGATTAAATTAGTCAAGTCAAATCGAAAAGAGACCTCCCGATTTTTAATAATAATTATGTTCAATAACCACTGTTCCTAAAATTCGAAGTTGTAACTACTCATTGTTAATTATCCAACTCACTTCATTAGCAATATATAAATTACAAAACTCTTAGCATCTCTGCTAGAAACAATGACTTTATATCACATTTGCGTCAACAAGACTTTATTGCAATCAGAGTGAAATAACCTTCGGACATACGAAACAATGGATAAAATGATAAATTTGGTTTAAAAAATGCATGATGTTTATGTTTATGTTTATCTTCATTAAGCACGAATAAAATACAATAAATTTTAATATAAACGCTGTGTTTCCAAAAATACTATATAAATTCAATAAAAATTAAGCGAAAGTAGGTAGTTCCATTTCACCTCTCATTGCAAACTACAAGTGAAATTGATCGTCTTCGTTCGAAGGTAAAATTTGATAATTTGAGTTACGTATTAGTATATTATGACACGTGTGACTTGTGTAGCCCATTACTGCACACTACTGTGCAATAATGAGCAGCTCAAGTCTCTTCAAAACGTGCCTTAGATGTGAATTTAAATAATAATACTATATTATGCAGTGGGTGTCTATATGCTTTTCTACAAAATGAGGGGTAGCAGCATGAGCTGAAGGAGAGTACTGAAACCAGTTTTGTTTGAAAAAGCTTATTCACACTAATTGCGCACAATATTTTATAGCACAAAACCCTAAAAATAGCAGCAGAATAGCGATTTTTAGGTTTGAGTGCTATGAATAATATTAATGCTTAGAGTGATATTTTTTCAACGCATTAGTTTTAGAAACAATACTAAAACCATATACAAATTTTTATTTAATATTCTGTGCATATTTAATTGCAGATGAAGGTCGCAACGATATTATTCATTGGCTTTTTAGCTGTTGCCAATGCGGCAAATGAAAGTAAGTATATAATATTTAAAATAAAATTTTCTCTTGAAGTAACGCTTATTATTAACCATAAACTTTTATCAATAGAAAAAGTTGTGTGCTATTTTACCGATTGGAGTATTCAGCAATTTCCTCCCCAAAATGTCGATGCAAATCTCTGCACCCATATAATATACGCCTTCGTGGTACCAGATGGCAATGGTGGCGTTAGTGCACCGAAAAGAGACGTAGTTGACGGGCTCAATTCATTAAGACTTAAAAATCCTGATTTAAAAGTCATGGTTGCCATTGGCGGAGACGGTCTATCACATCTTTTTTCTCCCTCTGTAAGAACACCTGATATGATTCAACGCTTCGTCAACAATATTTATAATTTGGTTAAACAATACGGATTCGATGGGATTGATCTGGATTGGGAATATCCAAGTCAATCTGATAGAGATAATTTCTCACAGTTGGTTAGAAAATTGAAAGAGCGTCTTAATCCAGAAAATTTATTGCTCAGTGCTGCCGTATATCCAGTTAATCTTGAAAGGGGCAATGGATACAATATTCCAGAAATTTCAAGATATTTTGATTTTATTAACCTTATGACCTATGATTTGCGCGGAGCTTGGGCACCTGCTACTGAAATTAATGCTCCTCTCTATGACGGAGCTAGTGAAGTCACTGTGGTATGTATAGTCCTTGTAAACGCAGAAAAAGTAAAAAATGTTATTTTTAATGATAAATGATTATTAAGTTAAATTATACGATTAAATCAATTTAGGATGGATCTGTTCGACATTGGTTGAACAGCGGAGCACCAGCTGAGAAACTCATACTTGGTGTGCCCTTTTATGGTCGAACTTTTACCACGAATGGTCAGTCTAAAGGAGTTGGCACTCCAGGACAAGGTAAAGGTAGACCAGGTCCTATTTCACGGCAAGAAGGCATTCTCAATTACAATGAAATTTGTAGCAATATAAAGAATGACCATTGGGAGGAATTCTTCGAAGAATCACAGAAAGTACCATATGCCGTGAAAGGCAACCAGTGGGTTGGTTATGACAACGCAAGGTATTGATGACTAAATAGAGGAATGAAACAATTATCATTTGACTGTTATTATAAACTACGATAACTATTTTAGATCCATCAATGAAAAAGTTAACTATGCTCAAAAAAATGGACTCGGAGGAATGATGGTCTGGGCAATTCATCAGGATGATATTCAAGGAGTTTGCGGAGAAAAGAATATTCTGCTGAAGGCTGTTAATAACATACGTGGATCTGCCAGTTCGGGAGGTAGAGTTCCACCTGTCAAGTCACCAAGAACTGGCAAAAATATTAGACCGACACCAGGGGGTAATCAATACCCGCCGAATACGAGACCTAATAACAACAACAACAATGGAGTGAGGCCAAACTACAACCCAGGAAATCCATGGCTGCGGCCCAATCAAAACAATGGAGGCATTCAAAATCCAAGTGCTCCAATTAATGGAGTGAGGCCAAACTATAACCCTGGAAATCCATGGCTGTCGTCCAATCAAAACAACGGAAGATCCAATCCAAATAACGGAGCAAGGCCAAACTATAACCCTGGAAATCCATGGCTGTCATCCAATCAAAACAACGGAGCATTCAAACGAAAACCTGCTCAAAATAATGGAAACAGACAGAGTTCGAACGTTTGCGTGCAGGAGGGACTAGTTCGCGATCCAGCCAGCTGCAGCAACTATTACCAGTGCGTGTCCAACGGAAGTGGTTTCACGCCTTATCGTCAAAGCTGCGCTCCTGGTACACTTTTCGATGCCAGTATTCAAGGATGCAACTGGGCACAAGCCGTGAGATGTTGAAGAATTTAGTTGATAAGTTGAATGATGACAACGAAATTTTCACATAAAAGTATTAAGAGTAATTGAAAAATTTATGAATAAACATATATAAAATAGTAATTTTCGATACAAGTGCCATAAGTAACACTTTTTGGCACGGCGTAGTTTAGGGACCGAGCGCAGCGAGGGTCCTAATAGCTGGGCCGAAAAGTGTCCCCTATGGCCCGAGTATCGAACAACATTTTATAGTACTGTGCAAAGTTCACATTTATGCCCCCTTTTCCGAGCCATGAGTCGCACTTTCTGGTAGCGCGAAGTGAGGTTAGCGCACGAGCGTATGCGAGTGTGATGCGAACGCAGCGGTGCCAGAATGTGCGACTTATGCCACCGAAAAGCGTGCCATAGATGTGAACTTATGCCACGCAGTGCTATAAATTAATTTTTATGAACTACTATATACTAACTATGATTTTATAAATTATTAATCATTTGTAAAATTATTATATTGCTAAGAATATATATGAAAGGTAAATTGAAAATTGATCGAAATTAATACCATTTTTAAATTAAATGAAACAAATCATTCAATGACTAAAGCTCATTATTATGTAATAAAACGCTATTGAAACATGAATTTCGAAGGATGCTGAGACATTATTGAGTGAACGATATGTATGATTGCATGATAGTGATCAAGCTAATAAACTTTATTTGGAGAGAATTTTGAATGAAGGGTTGGAGCAGCTCAAATTTTTCAAGAATCAAAAGTATCAATTTTACGTAATTTTTTCATTCTTGAAGATCTACTGTTCCTGTCTGCATCATCTTTTATAAAGTTAAATCAAGTAAACTGAGCAGCATAAAATAGTAGTATTGTGTAAAAATTGTATCGTTTCATTCGTTAAATAAGCTAAAATAGATTGAATAGTTTTTTCTTTTAAATTGCGTAAAATTAAGCTGCTGAAGCATATTACTTTTGAACATTTGAGTTTGGCATAGAAACACTTAAACAAATATCTATCTAATGAGGAAAGACATTTCTTTTGAATCACCTTTAAATTCAAAATAAATTGAGTAAATACAGGCCCCTGAGGTAAAATTTAACTATTTCAGTAATGTGCTAGCAAATTATCACGTCACGGAGCAATAATAAGCAGCGTGATTCATATCAAAACGTGTCTACAAACTTGAGCCACGTAAGGATATAAAAAATATCAATTCTTAAAGTTACATTTTTCAACGCGTTAGTTTTAGAAACAAAACTATCTACAGTCTCGTACGAGTTCTTATTTAATATTTTGAATTTTTGATTGAATAATATTCGATTGCAGATGAATATCGCAACGATATTATTTATTGGCTTTTTAGCCTTTGTTTATGCGGCAAATGAAAGTGAGTATATAATTTTTAAAATAAAATTTTTCATCTATCACATTTAGCAATTAATATAATTTTTTTTCAATAGAAAAAGTTGTATGTTACTATGGCGATTGGTCTGCCACGCAACTACCTCCCCAAAATATTGATCCAAATCTCTGCACGCATATAATATTCTCTTTCGTGGCACCAGATGGGAACGGTGGAGTTAGTGCACCAAACAAAAATATGCTTGATGAACTCCGCTCATTAAAGAATAAAAATCCAAATTTGAAAATTATGGTTGCCGTGGGTGGAGCCTCTACATCAGGATCTTTTTCTCCCTCCGTTAGTAGCCCTGATGTGCTACAACGCTTCGTCGACAATCTTTATAATTTGGTTAAGCAATACGGACTCGATGGTATTGATCTGGATTGGGAGTATCCAAGTCAAGCAGAGAAAGAAAATTTCTCACAATTGACCAGAAAATTGAAAGAGCGTCTTAGTCAAGATAATTTATTGCTCAGTGCTGCGGTATATTCAGTTAATCTGGAACATGGCCGTGGATACGACATTCCAGAAATTTCGAAAAATTTAGATTTTATCAATCTTATGACATATGATTTGCGTGGAGCTTGGGCACCTGCTACGGAAATTAATGCTCCTCTCTATGACGGATCCAGTGAAATCACCGTGGTATGTATAATTTTTGTAAATAAGAAAAAGTCAAAAATGTTATTTTTAATTTTAATGATTACCAAATTATATTATACGATTCAATAAATTTAGGATGGATCTGTTCGATATTGGTTGAAAAGTGGAGCACCAGCTGAAAAACTTATACTTGGTATACCCTTTTATGGTCGCGCTTTTACCACGAATGGTCAATCTAAAGGAGTCGGCACTCCAGCAAGTGGTCCGGGTGCTCCAGGTCCAATTTCACAGGAAGGAGGAGTTCTCAATTACAATGAAATTTGTAGCAATATAAAGAATGACCATTGGGAGGAATTCTTCGAAGAATCACAGAAAGTACCATATGCCGTGAAAGGCAACCAGTGGGTTGGTTACGACAACCCAAGGTATTAATCAGTAAATCGAGTAAAGAAAATTTTTTTATAAAACTAAACAACTACTACTATTATTTTAGATCTATTAATGAAAAAGTCAACTATGCCCAAAAAAATGGACTCGGAGGAATGATGGTCTGGGCTATTCATCAGGATGACGTTCAAGGTGTTTGCGGAGAAAAAAATGCTCTGCTCAAAGCTGTAAATAACATACATGGATCTTCGGGAGGTGGAGTTTCTCCTCCTGGCCAGCAACCAGTAATTGATAATAATATTAGACCACCGCAAGGGGGTAATCAAAACCCGCCAAATGCGATACCTCAAGACAATAACAACTACAACAACAATGAAGTGAGGCCAAACGATGTAGGGTACAATCAAAATTACGAAGCGAGCCCAAACTACAACCTTGGAAATCCAGGACAGCCGTCTAATCAAAACAATATAGCATCCCCTGATCAAAATAACGTAGCACCCCCCAATCAAAACAATGCAGCACCTCCTAATCAAAACAACGGAGTATTCAAACGAATGCCCGCTCAAAATAACGGAAACAGTCCGAGTTCGAACGTCTGCGTGCAGGAAGGACTGGTTCGCGATCCAGCCAGCTGCGGCACTTATTACCAGTGCGTGTCCAACGGAAGCGGTGGCTTCGTGTCTTATAAAATGAACTGCGCTCCTGGTACACTTTTCGATGCCAGCATTCAAGGATGCAATTGGGCACAATCGGTGCAATGCTAAAGAAGACATAGACAAGGTGATAAATACGACGTATCTGGTTTTTAATTTTTATGTAACTATAAATCATTTTTAGAATTATTTTAATGTTGAGAATAAAAAATAAATGTACACGAAATTTAGTTGAAAATATAATAAATTATTTCTCCTGCCGTTTAATCATATGTAAAATTATTAATTTACTCATCTTTGTTACATTCAATTAAAAAAAGTAAATTAAAGTTTAATCGAAATCAGCGCCACTTTTAAATTAAATATAAAACATATTATTCAGTGATTATAATACAAAATTATGTAATAATACATAAGTATTCACCTATAAATTTTCAGTTAAAATTACATGATATTGTTTTCAAAGAAACATATTGATGAAAAAATATTTCAAAATATTTCTGATGTTTCGATTCACTTCAATTCAATTGACTTCTCTATTATTTTTATTATTTTGACGAATTAAATATTCTTATGAAAATTACTTGATTTTTACTTTCTACAAGTAGTTTCATCGATTCATCTAATACAAATTTACTTCACCCTTCCAACAATCGTCAGTAGTAGGATACTACCTGCAGATTCTTATCATACTGATTTCGATCCCAACTATCTTCATTCTTTTTTCAATTACTTAAAAGTATGTAAATCTTAATCCCAACTTTCCATCTCTATTGCTTCATCTTTATGATAATATGAACTTGATGTGAATTTATCCATCTTTTAGCTACGAATCATTTTCTATCACTGTCCGCGTCTCATTATCATTGATTTCACAGACATCATCCAAAGGAACTACCTCTTTCTTCACAACAGTCGTGCTTTTTTCACTCTGATTCGCGACGTTCAACACAGATGATTCGTTTTCGGATTCCCGCGTACTCGAATCCTCTTTTTCGGACGCTACAGGTTCAACTTTCACTTTCTTCAAAAAAATCAACCTTCCTTCACTCCGATTCGTGACGTTCGACGACGTCGAATCCCCTTTTTCAAACCCCGCGAATTGACCTGGCTCTACGAATTTAGTCGGGGCTCTTTTCACGGTACGGACTTTCTTTTTGATGCTCTGAGCCTCTCGCATCTGTAAAAGTCTTAAATTATTTTTTTTCGTCCTTTCCGCCATTCGTTTGCGCTCCGCCACATCGGGAGGAAACAGAATCAGCGGTTTCGAGTGCAATCCGTTGCGCGAGTCAACGAAGTGTAATTCGTCCGCCTCCCCGCGCACTCGTACAATGACGAAGATCGCCTCTTTCGCCTCGTAATCTTTTCCCTCGTACTCGTACGTCTCCCGAGAAGTCAACTTTTTCTCGAAAACCCTTGCTTCGAGCCGCTTCTTCACTTGAAAGAGGTCGAGCATTTTCACCAGCTCGTACGAGTACTGCGGTTCGACGATGACGTAGCCGAAGTAAAGCAGATTACACAGCGACTTCATGAGCTCGTAATTGATGCCCACGACGTCAATGTGAGTCGCGCCGCTGAACGTCTTGAAAAGTTTGTCGAAAAAGTCGCTGCATTTCTGCAGGACGCGCCTGTGGCAGGGAATGCTTCGATCGTCGAATTGAAAGAAAACGTCGTGATCCGGGCTGTTTCGCAGCTCCAACTGAGTCGGATAATCGTCCACTTTGAACACCTCCAGGCAGACCATCGTCCTGGGGCTCGATTCGCCTGAGCTGAGGGTGGCGCCGCTGTTATCTGAAACAACGATCGAAAGAGTTAAAGATGAGAAGCGTTTTATAGAATTATGTTATCCTTGCATCTTACCAGTTGCATCGTCATCCATTATGAGACGAAAATGAGACAAGTTTTGGATTTACAGGAAGAAGGATGTTTGGTCGATTATTAATGACTGTTGGCTGCTGGCGTCGGTGAGTCTATTATGTCATGTATACCTTGTAACGTCGACCGATGAAATATATAATAAACAAAAGCGACAGTTGACGTGAGTTTGACTACGATTGTACACAAAGTGTGAGCGAGGCGAAAATAAAGATCGATAGTTGATAAGTATCGAGTGAAAGCTAGGAAATAAATTAGTTGTATCGAATGATAATTTTTTATTGGATAATTATGGTGACAACGATTGATCATTTTGAAAAAATTAGATTTTAACGATGATATAGTTTCGGCTAAGTTGTACAAAAATGTATGGAAACTCGATCACAAATAAACTCAACATCTACCGCTAGATGGCAAGTACCCTTGATCTGTAAATCTGTATATGGCAAAGTCAAAATAATCGTATAAGTGAACCATACTCAGCTTTTCCACAGAGAGTTCCTAGTTTCTTCATCTGTATTGATAAATTTTCAGTCTCGTCATGTGTTTGATTCTCGTTTTCCATTTTAACAACTCGTTGAAAATTGATACGCTCAGAAGCATTTTCGGTATTGAATTTCATATCAGGTTTATGATCTTCACATTCAAAATCTGTAAATTTTTCTTCATCCAACGTCTCTGTTTGAGCGACGTTGGTTTGTCTGAAATGAAAATATTAGGTTAGTTTGTAATAACAAATGAACAGAACATAATCAAAAATCATTGAATTCACAGATGATTTACAACCCTAGTAGAAATTTAACCTTTCAGAACGTCAATGAAACGTTTTCTTGACCATTAAATGACCAATTCAGGGAGTTGGCAATAAATAGTCCAAAAATCGTTTCATTAATGCCGAAAAATGTTCGATTTCTACCAGAGAATGAGTGAAATTTTCAACTCTTTTGTCTTTGTGAAAATCTAGTATTTCCGAATACGAGATGCATTCTAATATTACTTCACTATTGCGTCTATTTTCTAAAAAACAAATATACTCCGCATTAGGAAAAAAGGAGGAGCATTATTAACATCACGCATCGCGGAGTAGAATGAAATTCGATTTTATCGCAACTGCAGCCCGGGGATTAGAAAAAGGCTCGGGCACAGTAGCGCGAATAAGGTGGAAATGAAACAGCACAAGCCGCAGCAACGATCAAGCCCGGATATATCGGTGTATGAATAAAGAAACAAAAGGTGGCGGCTCGGCTCGGCTCTCGACTCGAGCCGCGAATGAAAGGCCACAAAAACGGAGAGAAGATGCGAACGAACGATAGAAAGGAAAGGTATAAAAAAGACGCATTGTGTATCGGTTATATACCTGTGTACGTTACGGGCGGCAAAAATAAAAAGAAGAAGAAGCGCACAAATCGAGAAAATATATTATACAGGGTGTGTGAGAGAGAGAGGGTGGCTGCTGCTATTGCTGCACACATATCGCTCGAGCGAGCTTGGGGTTTTTCAAATCTATATACAGCGTGTGTATGAGTGTGCGAGAGAGAGAGAGAGAGAAAGATCGAAGCCCGCCGCCGCCGCCACGCCTTTCGATGCGCTCGCTCGGATATCGCTGTATCGCGATTCTATATAACTACTACTGCTATACGTAGGTGCTGCTGCTGTATATATATAAGTGATTTGAGGAAGCGAATTCACGCCACGCGCTCGCTGCACAAAAGGGGGAGGATTATTTTTTACCGCGGAGGGCGGGATCGAGCTTTTGCACGATGGTACGGCAGAGAGAGAGAGAGAAAGAGAAAAAATCGCAGCAACCTCTGCGTGTGCAAGCTCAAGCAAAACAAGACTCGACTTTGTGTATAGGTATATATATATCCGATATATGGATACTTTCGCGCCCACCCCCCTCGCATAGCTATATCCGTCTGTATAGGTGGCAACGAAAAAAAAAATAAATAAAAGGAAGAAGCATTTTCGCGCGAGAGAGCGTCGATCCGCCACAAAGAGGAGCCAAGAGAGCGAGAAAACGAGAGCGAGCGTACGTGAAAATATAGCACACCCGCCGCAAACTTATTTAACGAGCTGATACAAACTATACGCGTGTGTGTATGGTGCGCGATGCGGCGATATATAACGCGACGCGAAGCTCATCGCGCGCGTTTCGATTCTTCTCTCCCGTGCCTTTTTTTCTTTTTTTTTTTTACTCTATTATTTTTTGTCAAGTATAGAATAATATATATCCATTGCACCGCTGACGCCACCGATGAGTCGTCGTCGCGTGGGTGGGCGCGTTGAAATGTAAAAATACGAACGAACGAACGAACGAACGAAAAAAAATCAAAGTTTTACGCGACGACGACGAGTACGAGGACGAAGTGAAAGACTAATTATTCGGCTTCGGTAACTGCGGGTATAATTGAAGTGAGCGAGAGCTATGAATATCGCTCGGCCGAGCGTGCGCGAACGCGTCTATATATAATACAATACTCACGCACACACATACACACTGGAGCGAGTGTGACAGGCGCTGAGAGCGTGAGAAAGACAATAACAAAAAGGGAGAGGGACGCGTGGGCAAATATTCTTTTAATCAGGAAAGTATTAAAGCGCGTCGACCTATACGCGCGATATATCGCATGCGCGCGGATATGTATTATGTATTTTTTATATGCACAATCGTGGCCACAGGGTTTCGAGTTTTTAATTGCATATTATCATTATTGTGGCCGAGAGAGGCTTGCGATCCGGTAATTTTTTTGCTTTTTTTTTTCATCTTGTGCGTCGAGCTGCGCCGCGCGATCGATGAATGCGAAATTATAAAATGCAGCGCTTTAACCGCTTATATGCGTACGTATCTCGCATCTTTTTTCGAATTATCCATTTTTACACTACATGTTGCTTAGATAATCGATATTCGGGTGTGAATTTATCATTTTCTATGTTTTATACAATAATTTCGACATTGCCACTTGCAGATTTACGGATATAAGGTACTCGCCATCTAGCGGTGGAGACTCGAAGCGGTTTAAAATTGGTCTAAATTTTTTGAACTGTCATTTAAAATCAATTTAAAATGCGCTCAACATTGGTTACATAATTTTCAGATAATTGCCAAGAACGAACGAATGTACGATTTTATTTTAAACAAAATTCTAAATCGTCATTATTGTGTTCGCACATTAGGCCATTATCATATTGTTGAACATTTCGACCGAGCTAGCTCGAGTGTGAAAAAAGCTCACTCAAACCTATATACACGACACATGAAATACTCTCGTGTGTGTATGTATGTGCCAAGCACGATGCGAGCAATTGGTTATACCTAAGGAGCTTTTTTCCTCGCTCGCTCGTCTGTGTTTATAAAGAATCAAGGCGCGTACACACGTAGGTACGCCTGCCTCGCTCCTCACTCACTCACACACACATGCACACATACGCATGTAGCTCAGACTCTCGAGGTGCGGGTCTTTTAATAAAAGATGTGCTCCGAGATAGCGCCATTACCCCGGATTGCATTATTCACCGGGGTTAGAGCAACTTTGTGCTTCCGCCGCCGCCGCCGCTGTTCCTTCTCGCTCTCTCTCTCTCTCTCTCTCACTCTCGTAGGCGTGTCATCGCTTTCCTCCCTTCTCCTTACATTATATAAGATATACTAGACTAGGCAGCACTCAACGCCGTCGTTGCCGCCGCCGACGCTCGCCTCTCTCTCGCTCGCAGCGAGCGGAGCTTCTGCTGCTGCTGCTGCTGCTCAGAGCTATAGCTGTATTATATGGTTAAGACGCATACTTTTTCAAGCGCGAGAAAGTGAGCAAACTCGAAAAGCTGCCGCAGCTCCACAGCAAGCTCTTGAATACGGTGTACGTGTGTGTGTGTGTGTGAGTGGGTGGGTGCGGGTGAGCGAGCTAGTGCGGGATTTAAACGAGGCGCGCACACGCAAGGAGAAGGGAAGGAAAAGCTCGAGACTACGTGAAATAAGGTGCGAAAACGCCGTGACGTCTTGATTCCTGCGCGCGCGTACGCGCTGTAAATAAAATAAAACGAAAAACGACTGGATATAGCTCGCTGTAGTAGTACAGTATAATACAGCCCATACATCTTGTACACGACGACGATCGACGCCAAAAGCCCGAAAACAATGAATTGACCTAATTAAGCATAATTGAAAGCGAATCGCGCGTACATAATGCGTACATATCGCTCGTCGTCGGCTTTATATAATCGCGAAAGAAAATCTGCGTTAATTTACACACGCACGTATTATATTATACGTATGTATCGCAGCTCGCTCGGTCATTATTTCAGCGAGTGCGAGGATGATACTCGAAGCAGCAGCACATGCGTCTCTTGGGATCTCTCTCTCTCTCTCTCTCTCACGTAGCAGAAGCAGCTTCACGCCGAGCTATATCTGATAACGAAATCATGGAAAACGACGCGCTCAACTACGTGCGATACCATACACTTGAATGATTTATTAGCCGCTCGCAGCAGCAGCTATACGTGGCGCGTCGGTGGCTCTCGTGTAATCTTGCCGGTCAATTAACGTCACCGCGCAGCAGCGTAAGGCCATAAAACTGAGGCCATTTTCGCTCTCTCTCTCTCTCGCTCTTTTGCGGTAGCATAATAATGATGACGACGATGATGATAACGCTGCGACGAAATAACAAAAGGAAATTGGCGATGCGAGTTTTTCTATATATCCAACTGTATAAGCGACAAAAATATATGCTTTTCAATTAAATAAAACGCGTGCGGTACAGGGCATCGGGTTATATATATCTATAAGGGACATCGAAACGATGTATATAAATCCGAAATCAATCAGGTCTGGTTAGAGTATCAATTACATCGGGGGGTGGCACGAGAGAAAGAAGAGAAGCAGCAGCAGCGGAAAAAAAAACAACGAACGCTAGAGAGTACTCTTGCGCACTATCCGACTACCTCGCTCCACTCTACTCTAGCTCTCGTATATATAAAACCGAAAAAAATGAACGAACAGGAACGAAACAAAAAAACGAGCAACTTTTCTTTCTCGTCTAGTTCGCACGTTGGTGAAAAAAAAGCAGCAGCAGCAGCACAGCGTACAGGGTGGGAGCTAGCTACTAGCTAGCTAGCTAGAGCTCCAGAGAGAGAGAGAGTCAAGAATAAACGGCTCAACGGAGGATTTTAACGAGATTTTCGACGTGGT